CCGCAATATTGGTTAGCGATTGGGTCAAGGGGTCCATATAATCAAAAACGATCCAAGCTGAACCCATGCCACAATTAATTATATATTTTGCTTATCTCCATTATTTTATATATAGAGAAATTTTTAATTGGGCAAAAAAAAAACTTATATTTTATAAAATTATATTTGAACTTATCTTTTATAAAATTATATTTATGACATTCAAGGTTTATGTTAGGTTTGAAAAATCGAGTTTCAAATTATAAGATTATTAATTGCATCAAATCAAATTTTCTTTAAAAAGAAAATCAATTTTTAGCCTCTATCTAAAGGGTTCGGATACTCAAGACTGTTTTATTATAGATAATGAATCGAAATAAGAGCAAGAGGAGAACTTTGACCTCTAAAAGTTACGTCGCCAGATGCTTTGAGGACACAATATATAGAAGTACTACTTCCACTATAATTGAACAAAAGAAAGCCAAACGATACATAGGGTGGTTACATTGATATCTCAATTTTTATTTGATGCATCATATTTTAATTGTACTTAAGGTCCTCAAATTTTTTTCATTGTAGTTCCTGATTTTTTTCATCGAATTCTTATCTTCAAGTTTTCATCAATTAACTCATAATATTCTTGACAATAGTTTTTTGTTAAAATATACCGTTAGTTTGTTTTGAAACGAGAGAAAAATTTGATCGTACTTTTTTATTTGTTCTTTTTTAAAATGTAGAGGACAAATTTCCCTTAAATGGATTTTTAAAAAAAATAAAAATTATAACGTAGAAACAATTACCCCTATACATGACTAACTTTAATAAATTACCTCAAACACACAACTTTGTAGGCAAACAAACATTACTCGTTGAATCGTACATTCGAAACTTGGAGTAGATCCATTTTGAGCAAGTTGAACACATGTTTATCCCCTCTACGAAATTTTCTTCTTTCTTCGATTGATTATTCTTTTTCATTCCTAACTCTTTTTCTAATTTTGATCTCATTACTTGTAAGTAATTTCAAATCTTGATATATTGTATT